ATTCGACTGGATGGGCTTTGAGGTTCCTTCCCACCCAAACCATTCCATGACTCCAAGCCCCGCTGTCCCACCACTGATTGAAATCAGCAGCACGAGCTGCCACTTCACCCAAAAGCGGCGCCTTTGCTCTGCCCTTCCACGACAACTCCCTGAGCCACGGCACAGACCCAACGAGTGCTTTTCAGAAGGGGGGCAGGAGGAGACACTCCGGAGCCTTTGTCCCCCTGCTTTCTGTGACATTCCTGGTGGGACTCACCCTTCTTCCTCAGCTCAGGCTTGCCCTTCTTCACCGTGGCCATCACCATGTCTCCCACGCCGGCCGCCGGCAGCCGGTTCAGCCGGCCCTTGATGCCCTTCACGGAGATGATGTAGAGGTTCTTGGCCCCTGTGGAGAGCAGCACTCCCGTTATTCCAGAAAGGTGTTATCCCAGGATATCCAGCTTCACTGAGGGGACACCCAACAGCCAGGCCGCTGCTGTCTCCTCCCGCTGAGCCACAGGGACAGCAAGGGCTTTTTGCAGGAAAACCGGGCTTTGGGAGTTCACTCAACACCTGGTTGCCCTCTGCGTTACCCCAGGGGGTCCTTCCTCCCCGATTCCAGGGGGGCTCCTTCCTGCAGGGTTCCCCCAGTTCCAGGGGTGGTGCCCCGATTCCAGGGGGTGTCCTTCCCACCAAACTCTCCTGATTCCAGGGGTCTCCTTCCTGCAGGGCTCCCCCGATTCCAGAGGGCTCCTTTTCCCCGTGGGCCCCCAGTGGGACTCCCCCGTCTCCACAAAGCTCATTCCCGAGGGTCTCCACCGGTTCCAGAGGGGCTCCTTCCCTCAGGGCCCTCCCGGTTCCAGGGAGTATGGCCCGGTTTTAGAGGGGCTCCTTCCCACTGGCTCCCTCAGTTCCAAAAGGGCTCCCCCGGCTGGAGGGGGGGCTCTTTCCTGCTGGAACCGGGGGAGCATCCCGGCTCCCGGGGTCCCTTTCCCGCCGCCGCCCCCTCGCTCCCAGCCCCAGCCCGCCGCTCACCCGTGTTGTCGGCGCAGTTGATCACGGCCCCCACCGGGAGACCCAGGGAGATGCGGAACTTGGCCCCGGACGAACCTCCGCGTCCTGCGGGTCGAGAAGAGCGTTAAACCCGCGGGCAGGGCCCGATCAGGAGCCCCCGGCAGCGGGGGCGGCCACACCGCCCGCGCCATCCGCGTCCCCGCGCCTCTCGCCCGCGTCCCCTCTCCGCCGCAGCGGCCGTGGGGAGCCCGGAGCGGGCCATCGGGACGCGGGAGGGCGCTGGCCGTGGCGGGATGGCGGCGGATAGAGCCGGATGGTGCCGGAGCCGGCCCGGGCCTCACCTCGCTTCGACATCTTGGCGCCGGAAGAGGCGGTGCGAGTCACGTGACGCGCCCGCCCCGCCCCCGGGGCTGAGGGGAGGGGGGGCAACAGCGCCCCCTGCAGGCGGCGGGGAACGCCGCGCCCTCACACAACCCCGGTACCGGGAACACCGGGATAAAACCGGGATAAAACCGGGATAAAACAACCGCGGGGGGCGAGCACAGCGTCACAGAGTCAACTAGGGTGGAAAAGACCTCTGAGATGATCCAGTCCACCCTGTCACCCAGACTGTGGCACTGAGGACTTGGCACTGACTGAACATGAGCCAGGGGTGCCCGGGTGGCCAAGGAGCCAATGGATCCTGGCCTGGATCGGGAATAGCTCGGCCCAGCAGGAGCAGGGAGGTGATTCTGCCCCTGTGCTGGGCACCAGTGAGGCCACCCCTCGAGTGCTGTGCCCAGCTCTGGCCCCTCAGCTCGGGAAGGACATGGAGGGGCTGGAGCGTGTCCAGAGAAGGGTCTGGAGCACAAATCCTGTGAGGAGCAGCTGAGGGAGCTGGGGGGGCTCAGCCTGGAGAAAGGGAGGCTCAGGGGGGACCTTCTCACTCTCTACAACTCCCAGACAGGAGCAGGGAGCCGGGAGGGATCAGGCTCTGCTCCCAGGGAACCAGAACTAGGACAAGAGGATCTTAAACCATCCTATGGGAGGTTTAGGGCAGACATTGGGAAAGAAGTTCTTCACAGAGAGAGTGACTGGGATTGGAATGGGACACTGGGCATTGGAATGGGCTGCCCAGGGAGGTGGTGGGGTCACCAATCCCTGGAGGTGTTCAAGCAGAGCCTGGATGTGGCGTCAGTGCCACGCTCTGGGTGACAGGGTGGGGTCACGGGTTGGACTGGACGATCTCAGAGCTCTTTTCCAACCCGGCTGATTCTGTGACTCTGTGACTCAGAGCGAAACCCCCCCGGGGGTGGGAAGCAGGGGGCTGGTGCTGGGGGGCTGCTCTGGGCTGTACTCACCCCCCCCTGCAGACGGGACACTGCGCTGTGTCGAGGCCGGAGCCGCCGGCTCCTTGTATCCATAGGATTGGGACGGCGGCTGCTGCTGCTGGAACACTGCGGGGGAAAGGACGTGAGGTGGGATATGGGGGGGGCACAGCAAAGCCCCTCACAAAGCCCTGGCTGCCCCCCCCGGGCCTCACCTGGGTTGGTGGGCTGGACGTGGTGGGACGGCTGGTGCTGCTGCTCGGCGGGTCTCCAGTACCCTCCGGAGCTCTCCTGGGAATTCCTGCGCTCCGGCTCCAAACCCTCGCTGGGGCTCGGGCCCATCCTGCTCCGCTCGAACTCTTCGTGGTATTTGATCTGCAGAGGGGGTGGCAGAGGAGGGAGAGGTCAGGGCTCACCCAGCCTGGCCCTGGCAGCAGCTCCTTGGGTGCCAGGAACAGCTTCTCCCACTGAACAGGCAATGGGATGAGAGGAAACGGCCTCAAATTGGGCCACGGGAGGTTTAAATCAGATATTAGGGGAAATTTCTTCGTGGGAAGAAACTGGAACAGGAGTCACCAGCCCTGGAAGTGCTAAAAACATGTGGATGTGGCACTTGGGGACAGGGTTTAGGGGTGACATGGCAGTGCTGGTTAATGGTTGGACTCCACGAGCTTTGAGGGTTTTTCCAGCCTGAATGAGTCTATTATTCTCTGAGCCTTCATCTCATCCCAGCTCATTCCTTTCTGAGACCAAGGATTCATCATCAGCCACTCCCACCCTCCCTGGCAGTCCCAGGGGGGTTTCTTCCCCCACCCCCCCCCAGAGCACAGGGACACTTGCTCAGGTTTGTGGCACTGAAAGGAGGAGGTTCCAGTGTCCTACGGGTGGGATATATGGAAATTTTTCAGGATGAGATGCAAGACCAGGCTCCCAATCCACAGGAACACGGAGCAAAAGCCCCCTTGGGAATCCCCCACTGCAGACACTGAGCTTGGTGGGCAACCCCCCCCATCCCACAGCCAGGGACAGGGGGGACCCAGGGCAGGCAGGAGGGAAGGGTTAACCCAGCCATGGGGGCACCAGTGTAAAAATTAACCCCCCCTGGTGTTAATGAATGCATTCCCAGCGGGAAGCACCTGGAGCCTGTTCATCTGCTGGTTAAACTGTGATTTCCTGAAGGGCACCACAGCAGGAGCCTGGAGCAGAGCCACCCTTCTGGGGGGGGAGGAAAAAGGCCTGGAGGGGAGCACCCCACTCCTCTGGATGGTGTGGGGACCCCGGGGAAGCTGGGGACAGCCTCAGGAACAGCCTCAGGAACAGCCTCAGGAACAGGAAATGGGCACAGCTCCATTCCCAGGAGGGTTTCCCCACCTCCACTGGGGCATGGCCATGCTGGGACCCCCTTTCCTGCCCCTGTTTCTGCCCAGCTGCACCCCTGGCAGGGCATTGCTGAGGCTCAGACAGGCTCTCTGCAGGGACAGGGTTTGTCTCTGTGTCTTCAGTAAGTGGGTCACGGCCACCCCGGGCTGGCAGGGACGCCGGGGAAGCTGCTGCAAAACTGTGCCCGTGGCTGGCAGAGGGTGAGGGGGCTGAGCAGAGGGACCCAGCTCTCTGCTGGGTGGTTTAGTGGCCCCCAAACCTCCACCCTTTCTGCCCAAACACAGCCCCTTCCACGGCAGGGAAGCTCAGCTCGGCTCCTGCCAGCTCGGAGCCCACGGAGAAGCTGCCCCAGGGAAAACCTTCCAGCCAGGTCCTTTTCCCAAGCCTTGCCCAGCCTGGCTGTCCTGGGGTTTGGTGGGTCAATAACAGCCCACAATTCCCTGAGGAGAGAGCAGCGTTTGCCAAGGAACTGGGAAAAGGGAGCAGAAGGAGAGGGAATAAACATCCCCCTCCTGCCCTGCTGGGGCTTCTTGGGGGTGTGAGGGGGCATTAAATAACCCACGAGGGCACAGGCACCCTCCTCCCTCTCCCTGCATTCCAGAGAGCCCAGACCCCTTCCCTGGCCATCCCAGCAGCTCCCACGGAGGGATTCTGTCCCCAGGGCAGGGAGGGATTCTGTCCCCAGGGCAGGGATTCTCACGGATTTTGGAAAAGCCAGGGGCAGGAGAGGAAGCTCACAGACACCACGAGCTCATGGAGCCCCCAGAGAGGTTTCTCATGGAAAGGGTTGAGTGGGCAGGGAGAATCCAACCCTTTCCCTTCCCAGGGTTTCCCAACAGCTTTGGTGAGGAACACACATGACTTTCACCAGCAGGCAAAGGTTAATGGTCTCCCTGTGCTCTGCTGGGGGGAGGACAGAGGGAGCTCAGGGGGATTTGGGGCAGGGAGAGCCACACCCTGCTCCGGGTGCTGCAGCTGGACGCGCATCCTCCTGAGCATCCCCCTGTGCATCCCCCTGTGCATCCTCCTGTGCATCCCCCTGCCTGTGCATCCCCCTGTGCATCCTCCTGAGCATCCTCCTGAGCATCCTCCTGGGCATCCCCCTGTGCATCCTCCTGTTTACTGTGCCTGTACATCCCCCTGAGCATCCTCCTGTGCATCCCCCTGTACATCCCCCTGTGCATCCCCCTGTACATCCTCCTGTGCATCCTCCTGTGCATCCTCCTGTACATCCTCCCATGCATCCCCCTGTGCATCCTCCTGAGCATCCTCCTGAGCATCCCCCTGTGCATCCTCCTGAGCATCCTCCTGCCTGTACATCCCCCTGTGCATCCTCCTGTGCATCCTCCTGTTTACTGCGCCTGTGCATCCTCCCCCATCACCATGGCAACGCTCCAGCATCCACAGCCATCCCCAGGCACACACACACAAGCCAGGGGGAGCAGGAGAGGGACAGAGCCCCTTGGAAGGGGTGATCCCTGGGGGTCCCTCCCAGCTCAGGGTATCCCAGGATCCCACGTGCTGCCCACGCTG